ACAGACTTTGCTACACTGTTCAAGTAATTACCAATTGAATAACCACATAACACTCATGGGCCTGCTTGTGTTCTTCAGTGATTTCACCGTGTACAATTGATGAATTCTAATGTCATTACTTAAATTTTCCTACTCGATCAGTTTAGGTAATTTTTGATTTGTGTTTGTACAGTGTATGTGTAATGTGCACATGTGTTTACAAGAAGCCCATCTTTAAAAAAAAAATGTTCTTTGTAATTGGCTAATTTGAAATTTATCTTACCAAGAAGTACTCATTATAATTTGACTAATTACTTCCAGTCAGATAACACTTTGCAATGTGAACAGTTACAAATTGTTCCTGTCAGTGCCATGTTTAGTTACAAAGAAAATGTTGAGAAATTTCAACAAAAATAAAAATCCACTTCCCTGCAATGTTGAATCTTCCTCCATGTCCTCAGCTTGTTTCAATACCAAGTCTACTTTTTAAATATTTGCCAAGCCTTAGGGGTTCAATTATCGCCACACCTGCACTAACTGTTTCATCATACTATTTATGTGGAAATTGTTTAATCTAGAACTGAAATTTAACTTATTTAAATTACTAGAAAGACTTTGATATGCGGACAACACTTAATGCTCCTGTGCATAAACCTATGAGACTCGGCTGAAAAACATAAGTGTTTCTAAGTAAATACTTTGGAAATTCCTTAGCTAAATTTCACTTTTTAGGACATGTTATCTCTTTCTGATTGCAGTTGACAACATTTCAAGGGAAAACTAGTGTTGTCTGTATATGGAACACTTTTCAATTTGCCATTAGGTGTTCCACTGTCAGTTTACATGCATGAAATGTTCCATAATATTATATATTTGGAAATTATTTACCTGATGTTAAAATAAATTCAAATCTGTTAACCTAGCTGAAATAAAATGTAAACAAAAGCTTTCAAACTAACACCACAACACTTATCAGTAAAACCAACAACTTAACACCACTTTTTAAATCAATGGAGACATAATTTGTATTCACCTGTTTTTGCAGTATAAATCAACAAGTGATTGAAAAGAGAACCACCCATCCACAAGTTGCCCAAAAAGTACACAGATGGTGTCAAGGGCAAGGGATCCCAACTAACCCGCGAAATTGCCCGGGATCCCCTCAACAAAACCACACGGCGCCAAATGTTCACACCCACCCACACAAAGCACTAATGTTATAACTCCAATAACATCACCCCAAAATGGACAAAGACTCACTTGAATTTGAAACTGTTGCCTCCTCCGTTGGATTTCTGCAGAATGCAGTTCATCATCCTGTTAAAATGGGAAAAAACGCTTTCTGAAAAGAGGAAAGATTGTGGCTTGAACCCGGGGTAACCTTTGGATTTTTCAAGAAGCTCCCGGATCCCCGGGAAATCAATAATATTGTGGTCCACTTCAGGCTCCTATCCAACTGTGTACAAAAATACCGGTGGGTACATGGATTGAACACTGCACTAAACACCACAAACTCACCACGTCATCTTCCCTAATTTTCCTCTTTCTCGAACAAATGGTGAATTCTCCCTCACTCTCTTGAGCAGGTAACAGAGATTCTTGTCTTGTCTGCAATCGGTTGCTGAATATCAATGACAAAAATGACAAAATTTGGGTTTGAAAAGTGAGGGTCGCTGCGTACAGACTCCGTTTTGGTCTAGCTACGTTGCGATGATCAAACATAGGGCCTATAAAATTAACAAAATTAATTAAAAATTGTATTCTGAGTCAACAGTGGACAAATCTCACCTTCTCCTTCTTGACATTATTCCGTCTAGCTGACCAGCTCTATTTGTTGGTAGCTAGAAGCAAAAAGAGAAAAAACAGTGCATTTTCCAACCGAGCTCCGTGATGAAATATCAGTCTTCCTTTGTGTACTCGACTCGACACAATGCTGAAAGGAAGTCAAAGGTTTGAGGCCAAATTTCAACTCTTAGCCATCAGTAAGAATTAATACTTCTCAGCAGGATGATGAAATGAAAGGTGAATTTTCATATGCTACGAGGATTTCAATTATGGTAGAGAAATCACAAGAAAATCCAACATTATATTTACTCACCACTGTCTGAGCCGATAGCGTCGAAGTACGACAGAGTGAACCAAACGGGTCAGATCTCACCCCTGGTGTGCCTTAGATTTCACGCCGTAACGACGAAAGTAGACTTCGTATGGTCATAAAACTTCATCAGTACCTAGTGTAGTCACCAGTGACTTTATATTCAAAAATATGGTACAATACAATAATATGCAACAAAACTGGAGCCACTATTCCGTAGCAGCCTTTAAGCCAAACTTCGCTGCAACTACTGAGAGAAACCCCGCGAAACTGTACGCATCGCCAGTGCGCAGCTGCTGGGCCCGGGCGCGCGCTTAGCTAGCTAGGCGACCGAAGGTGGCGTATTTTTTGCCGCGAAAAAGTTCGCGCCGGCTTTTAAAAACCCATGTAAAACACGAAAAATTTTCACCGCAAACTGTTAAGATTAATCTTTCTATAACCTTATTAAACTTGCAAACCAATTTTCAGTCTTGAAATGATTACTTTCTTTGATGAAAAGTGGATTTATACGATTATCCGCGACGACAATTTCAGCGACCCGAGAGAATTAAGTTTGCAGCTTGGCGCGGGAAACTTAATTTTGAGTGTGATTGTTTTCTAATTTAAACAAGGGAAAATGTCAATTGGCATATTTTTATGATGAATTACACAAAACAAATATTCCAGAGTACCTCTTTAGATTTTGTTACTGATTTGCATCTTTATTTCTGGAGAAAAACTACTAGTTTGGACTTGGACATGCATGAGAGTGTTGTGAGACAAGGTTGATGATTGGCTGCCGTTTACTTCCGCATTGCTTGTTTGTTGACATGCGATACGCGTTCGCATATAAATGTGCATACACATGAGCTTCACGTCTTCATGTGTCAGCTGATTCGTAAATGTACATTTTACATGAACATATCTACTGTACATGTAATGAAGGCCTACGTATATGAACACGTGTGACTTGGGAGGCCATTTTCAGTGTTCCGAATTCGTCGAAGGCTAGGTAAGCTGTAAACATAATCTTTTTAACGTGACAGAAGGCACAGCAGGCAGTGGCAGGCTTGGAAACAGATGTCTTTATGCGTTTTGTGGTAAGATGTGTTGGAGAAGGTGGCAGGATCTTGTAGCAATGGTCAGTAGCCATGGTTACTGCCGACTGAGGACAATGGTGGGCATGGACCATGGTGGGTGATTATCATAGGAAAAGCCCCTCCATGGTGATATCAGGTGGTCCTTGACAATGAAATAGGAATTTATCATGGTCCTGATGGCTAGTTTTCTGGCTACCATGGTTAGAGGTTGGGTAGTGTGGTGCTTGGTGAAAGATGGGTGCTCTTAATGGTCCATCTTTCCAATACTTGTTGTCTTTCTTCCTGAAGAAATTGTTTTCCTCCAACTGAGATGTCTGTGCCAAATTTGTTGCGGGGTTGGCTGAAACTTTGTGATGGCTGATATTACATAATTGAGAAGTGAGGCCATGTAAAAAAAAAACAAACAAAAATTGGTGATCATCCTTTTGCCCATAAAAGGAGAATGGGGGAGGGGTTTGGTAAGAAATGCCCACACGTGTTTAAGTGACGGCAAGTTTATGCAGGATACTAGCACACGTGATCCTAGCACACGTGTCCAATAGATGGAACAGCCTCCGATCAAGAATTAGGTAGTCTTGTAGGAATTCTCAGACCGAATTGTAAGCTTGGGATCGTTTCTTGTGTAATTTTTTGTCATTTCATGTGCATCTCTCCTCCCATGTTTTTAAAAATAAAATATGTAAAAAAATGAATCAGAGGCATTTTGGAGGGTCGGGAGGGGATGATCACCAATTCATTTTTTAAGTCTCTGTTTAATGTTTGTTGAAGGACAAGATGTCTCAAGACAGGATGATGAGCTTATTTATTAAGTACAGTTTTGTGTTTGCAACAGGGAAGTGTTTCCAAGGAGTGTCATCCGTGGGTTTTTTCTGGAGGTAACGCCGATCCTAGTTGGAGTGAAAATGTCTAGAAATGCTCTTTCATTGTTCAGTCAGCTTTTTGGCAGGACACATGGAGTTATCATTGGAATGATACATGTCAAGGCTTTACCTGGTGAGTGTGGGTAAAAATGGTTTTATACAGGATTAAGGAAACTTGAAAAAAAACTCTTCTCTTTTTCTTAATTTATAATAGATAACATACTTTTTGAAAATGTCTAAACAAAAAGTAAGGACAGTTCATGCATGTTCTTTGGGGAATGTAAAAGCAAACATGACGTCACGAATTGTTTACAGTGGAATTTGCTTATGTTGAGATCTATTCAACTTCTGTGAATTCTCAGCACAAATAGTTGAGCTGAAGTCACAATTTTGGATTTGTGATTGTTTTTGTGCCAGGTAACCTGTAGTAGTAGTCTGGATTTCCTTAGAAATTGCCAGTACAAAATAAGTTCAGTAGTAAGAGACTGTGAAACTGTCCAAGGAATGACTGGGTTTGGGCGAGTTTAGAAAACTACATTTAATTTCCTAAGTTCAAAGGAAAAATATTGATTTTGGTGCAGGGATTAACCACTTCCTGCCAGGGATTCCGGTACTGCACACATGTGCTTTCGGTACTGGACACATGTGCTTTATATGCATGGCCAGGGTCTCCGAAATCGGACAAAGGGAACTGGGCCTTGTAACAGAAGACCGTACTCGGAACAAAAGACCAGGCTGCTGGGCATTACTGACATTTTTTCACTCTCAATAGTGGAGATAATCCAGCCTTGTTTTGAAATAGTGTACCACGGTTTGGGGCATTTAGTGCAAGCGGATTACCACTGGGAAAAAAACGCTCCACCACCGCAGCGATGAGTCACACAGCATCGCTGCACGTTAATCTGGCCCCTATTGAAAAGAGGTCAGCAGTGCACTGTGCCAGATTCGTGAACAAAAGAAGGTTACATAACACCGCACAATCTGGGCTCTTTTTACAAGGCTGCAGGCCTGGCTAAAATACTCCAGCGTCAGTAGATTTTGTCTGTCAGTTTAGGGTAGAAACCAGACAGTCCTTCGTGTGGGCCTAAGTGTCTAGTAAGTGAATTTTTAAAGAATTTTGAAAACAGAAAAAATGATAATTATCACGCCCCAGCATCATCAACATTGATAACTGCCACCCGCGCAAAGTGGTTAAGGCAGACCATCCCCTTACCAATATCCAGTGTAAGACTTGACTTTCTTTACAAAACAGGCAGTCCACGCTACCGACTTCCTGTGAAGGATATCATCCGTCTAGCTTGTGAGGAAGCAGAGGGCTACAGGCAAGCAGGTGTGGTAGGTCACAAACTGAGAGAGTTTTGTCAAAGTTAATGCTGATTAAACTTTAATGAAAAGTTCTGTAGATAAATCTGTGAAAAAATGGTGTCTAGATATGTATTTGATTGTAAAATCTATTTGTTTACCTTACAGGATGCCATAATAATTGAGAACATGCATGATGTGCCATATCTACAGGCTGATCATTTGGGGTCAGAGGTCACAGCAAGCATGACAGCAGTGGCCAGCAAGGTACGAGAGGTGTGTCCCAGCATGCCTTGTGGTGTTCAGATTCTCTCGGGTGCCAATAAGGAGGCATTGTCCGTCGCAATGGTAGCAGGTGAGCTACAACTGAGGTTACTCTTTGCCATTGGATGGCAGGTGGATTAGGAGCTGTAATTGATTGATATTGGGAAAGGTCTTGTTGTTTTCAGCAATAAACAACATTTAATGCCAAACATATATTATTTAGAGACTGTAATGGATTCTGTTGATTTCTCACTTTATCTTTTGTCACGTTAGATTTTGTTCATTTCAGAAATGTGTTGTGCAAATATTGGGAGAAGCTTATTCATTGTTTGATCTTGAAAATTTAATGTACTTTATTTGTTAAATTGATGCTGCTTGAAAAGGCATTATTGCCATGTCTGAGTTCCAAGCATAAACAGAAAAACTAGAATACATCAAGAGTCAGTAACTGGGAAATGACTTTAAGCCCTAGACTTGGATTACTTTAGCTCTGGATGAAATATAGACTTGATTCTAGATCCTAGGGTACTTGTAAGCCATAATGGTCTTTGTTTATGCCTTGACTCAGTGAGGCACGGTCGGCTGAGTTTTGCTTTTTTGAGACGGGACAGCTGAGTCGTCAAAACTGATGAATCAATCGGGGCAAATCTGTTCTTGAGGTTTGTGCTCAAGTCAAGTTTGGTTTCAACCTACTTTTTTCCTGATTGTGCTCACACACAGTCTACTTGGTTGCTTTTTATTTATTTTGTCTTGAAATATGACTCCACTACAACGCTGTCTTTAGGTCTTGATTTCATCCGAGCCGAAGGCTTTGTATTCTCTCACGTTGGTGATGAAGGTTTCCTAAACTCCTGTGCTGGTGAGCTACTTAGGTACAGGAAAAACATTGGTGCTGAGGAAGTGAAAATCTTCACTGACATTAAGAAGAAACATTGGTGAGCATAAGATGATGGGGAGGCGGGGACTAACTTGCGGGATGATATTTATTACAGAAATTTAGTTTTGTCAAACATGGTCTTTTATGTTCACAAAGATTATTTCCCGAGGTTTGTTATGGAAGTTCCAGTTTCACAGAAGAAAAAGGGTTTCGATTAAAAACTAGGCTGTGGTCTCAGCATGTGAATTGGAAAAAAGTGTAGCCTTGTAATGAAGGCTACGTAAGGGCTCTCTCTTTTCACAGGTACATGCACATTTTCCATCCGTTTACATTTGACAAATTGGTACAAGGGAAGAAAATGTCAGTCTCACTAGAGCTTGTTCCTATTTGTATTGTCGTATTCACAAGGAAGGGACGGAAATAGCATTGAACTTATGACAGTTATGTCATAGTTACATCTCGTATGTTTGAATCATCACTTGGATGTGTTAACACTGATATCACTTATTCCCACAGTTCATCATTTTTTCTTGCGATATCAATGATGTTCTCTTTTTTAGCAGCTCTCATGCCATCACAGCAGACGTTAGCATTGCAGAGACTGCCTCTGCTGCAGAGTTCTTCGGCAGTGATGGAGTAATTGTAACTGGCAGTGTAACAGGCCAAGAAGCTAGTGTTCAGGAAATAAAGGGTAATCAATGAATTGTTTGGAAGATATGAAACAATATACACCACCAGTTATTCCTGTGATGTATGAAAATTGCAGTGTCCCAAAAGAAAAGAAAATTTAATATAACACCTTGGACTTAATGATACAACTTTGCGTTAAGTTTGTAAATTTTCAGTGGTCAGATTTGAAACGCTCGAAAAGTCTGATTACTAAACTTGAGTTTTCAAAACAAGTTGAAGGATCTAATCATCTTGTATTGGTTGGAATTCCATGAAGTAAACCTCTCCAGTCAATTGAATTAATCATATCTTAAAAGTAACAACATTTGCTGGATTGACTTCAAAAGAATACTTTTGAACAACATCTGAATTTAGAAAAGAATCAGATGAGGCCCCTTTTTCACTTTCAGAGATAATCCTCGCTCTTTTTAGTTTTCCGCTTACTGTGGGAAATCATTTGTGCCTAGCATTGATGTTGTGTAGAAACCAATTCGAATAAACTACATAAAACAGATAGCTATGATCTAATAATTTTGTTCATTGTAACTGGATATGGTTAAAAGTTTAAATGATGAGATATAGTCTAGTCTTAATGAGGCTTCATCCCTGTTCTGTCTTTCAGATGTCCAGGCATCAGTCGACATTCCAGTTCTAGTTGGCTCAGGAGTGACTCTCAGCAATGTGGAGCAGTACCTTGGTGCTAGCGGCCTCATTGTAGGATCACACTTCAAGCATAATGGACTGTGGCACTACCATCCCGACTTTTCCAATGTTAAAAAGTTCATGGATAAGGTCCAAAATCTACGTGGTGACCCAGCAAAATGATGGTAAGCTTTAGATCACGTCACTAAATAAACCGTCTCGAGAGTTGTTGCTTCATTGTTTCCTCATGGCCAATTTAAACTGCTCTTGAGAGCCAAGTACACCTATCAGTTTACAGTGATCAGCCTAATAACAGTTTGGGTCCAGGGCTAGTTGTCAAGTTCAACCTAAATGGTGCATGTGTAATGCAATCAGATTTGAGAGAATATCTGTTGTCCACTATTCCCTAGATCGCCATGGAGCAATACATTTCTACATGTTATATAGTTACACATTAAGAAGTATAGATGTGTCCTTGCTGACTTAACAAAATGTGCATTTTCCTCCATTAAGGTATCATTGTTGTCAGAATTCTCCATTAATTAATTCCATATTTTATTCCTTTTTTCTATCAGGTCAATTAATGTCAGATATTTTCTATTTTTAATTCATATCAACTATTGTGAATAGTACAGATTGTGTTTTGTTACAATCATTTTCTGGCCTGCATCTAGTCCTTTTAGTTACAGTGGCCCTAAAGTGAGCACACTGTGACAGTTGTATCATTTTGCATGTATTAAATGGTAGTAACATATCACAACCAATCACACGTCATGCCTAACCCCTTATACTGAGGAGTTTGTTCAGGGGCTTGTAAAATGAAAGTCAGAACCATTGGTCTCCCCTAATGGGAAATCAGAGTATTTCTGGGATCATTTGAGAGAATTTGCTGGTATCTTGCTGAAAACACAAGCTGTACCCGGAAATAAATGAATGAAACAAATGGAAAGAGGGATAATTTTCAAAGGAGAAAATATCTTTATTTGCACACATCAGACCTCAAAACTTTATCCAAATAAAAAGAACATTTTACTGTAATGTCAAACTGGAACCAAGCTAAATAAACATCTACATTCCTCTCAATCCATACTTCCACATTTGAATCAAACAGATGAAACAATTCCTAACGTCACTAGCTGTATAG